ATAAGAAACAGCAATCAGGGAGATACTGCCAACGGACTAAGAACGGTGCTTTGATGTAAACTCTACACCACCTGGATTTGCTATTTTTAAATGAGACCTAATTGAAGTGGGTTTTGAATCCACCTGGTGTACTCTGTATAATGCTTTACGCCAAGTTTATGAACAGAATGCCACTGTACAAACGCAACATGATGTTATATAATTGATCTACGCTTAGTATTTTCTGACGCCACATTCCAAAATAACATGTTAGTCCTCTTTTTTCTCCCTTGAGCTGTTTCTAAGAATAATTTACCTCTGCACCACCGTTTTTCTTCATCTGTGTCTACTCTGGCTGATTTTCACGACAGCTTTATCCAGTTTTACATGACTTACTTCATTCTCTATACCTGTAAAGTAACATCGACCTCTCTGCATACTTGTGGTCGTCTGTGAATAACCTCTAGGCCAAACCTGACGTTGTATATTGTAGAGGTGATTGCACTTGATCAAGTATGACCTATCTTATAGGTCCTACTTGCTTTGTTTATGGCTTAGAAACATAATAGGGCTGCGTGACCTTTGGAGGTCTCGTGTTGGTTTATGGTGGTATTTAAATTGTTCTTTACAAGGTACAATCTTTGCCATTGTAGTTCTTTTTTATTGTTTGAGTTACTTTAAATCAATTAGTATATTCGTTATTAATGTATGCACCTTTCAGTGCCCTTAATCGCTGTACTCCAAATGCCCATGACATATCCATTAACGCTACACCGTGCAGAAATTTACAAATAACATTTAAATCCCTTTTTAAATGGAATTTTCATTATTCAGCACTATGCAGTAATAAAGCACCAACATATTCCGAGAAAATTTCAAATGCTCATGTCCGTTCGAGCGTGTGTATTGTTGCTTATGGTGGTGTGCAGCGCAGCACACTAAGTACACAGACTTCTTTGTATGCAAATGTCAGCTGCTGTAAGTGCAAAAACCTGCATTCAAAACCTCGTGTTTACATGTTCCAGGAAAGCCTAAAATTGGTAAAAAATGCCAGTGTTTAGCTTGGCCAGCAGAGTTTAAGCTTGCTATTGGCAATGTATAAGCAGATAATTAAATACATTAGTCATGTGTGAAGTGCTGTGCTTTTTAACACAATTTTTATGTAACTGGTGACATTAAATTGCATGACATTTGAACGTGTCTTGAGTTTCAAGGTTAATAACCTGTAATTCACTTGCACCAATATGTAACGTCTTGAAAAAACTCTCATTTTAAATGACATGCCAAACAAATATGCTATAGAGTTGAACTGACTTTTCTTATGTCACCCACAAAAAAAACATAAATTACTGAATAGTACTGCTGTCGAAGTAATAACACCCATTTTATTTTGCATGAAATAGCATCCCATTTCTTGCTGCCATTTTAACTAAAATATGAAGAAAAAAATTTCACAATTGCAAAATACTAAATACATGAGTGTAATTAGTACAGACTCATAAAAACTTTGCCAAAATGTTCTACTAGCCAGAATCCACATTTTCCAGTCCCCATGATTGGCACATTATACCGAAGCAATGAGCTAGAAATGGACCAAAAAAAATGTCAACGTTCTTTTGTCTTCGGCTGCTTGTTAAACGATTGAAAAATGGGAAAAAGTCCGGCGGTTTGAAAAGCGGAACCTAAGATGTGATCAGCTTCACCACTCAAACCACAGGGGTTTTGGAGCAACGGCTGTGCAGTTGAGACAGCACCGAACTGATCATTCATTCACTTTCAACAAAAATGGATGAATACAATTTCAAGACCCTTTTATGATGGCATCTGCCATATAAGATGGTGTTAATATTGTAACAAAATTTTTTAAATTGGATAATATATATCTTTCTATATATATAAATCAGAAAGAATTACATAGCATTGCATTTTGAGACATATAGGAATATTTCCAAGGCTATATTAAAGAAAAATGTAATATGAATTTGACATAACCGTCTGAGATGTTATCCTAACTATAGATTAATTTGTGAATTATGGATAAATTGTATTACATATAACAGAAGCAGATAGAGTGGTTTCCACCAGTATTTGAAATGCCATGCAAAAACCAACACACAAATGTGTTGCGCTCACAGTTTTGTTTACAGCTACACACAGTCACTCTATTAGGACGGGTGCTATTAGTGAGCACCTATTGATGTTGGCACGGCATACGAGGGGGTGGTGTGGTCACCTTTATAACTCCAGGGCCGATGATGACACCATGTGAGTTACCCTACAATAATACTGTAATTATACATTCATGGCTTCATTAGTTTCACATTTATCCCAGACCAACACCGGGTTCTCATACCTTTTGTAAGTGGAGTGCATAATCAGGCATCCAAATTGTGTACATGGACTGGGTATTTCAGCACTTCGCCACAATATATATCCCACAGTCAACGCTCCTGCACTCACAGTTGACCCACACATCCACAGACGCAATTGAACACAGGGTGCACTTAAACAATAGTACCCACACACGATTTCTAACAACACGTTATTAGGCTGGTCTGGTGCTCCGCTAAGTCGACTGAACCTAGAATGAGGACCTGCTGGGGTGGGTCATATTCAGCACTGGGGAGACAAAGGCAGCCAAGTATGTTGCGTGTTGACTCCACCACCGTTGTTATACCATGCTGGCCTAAATGAGTACTTGCACACACACAACAAAGACCCAACCGTTTAGCCTCAACAGACTGTTGGGTAAAGTGTTGTTAGTGAGCACCTATGAAGGCCAGCAAGGCGGGTGGTAGGTTCATAGAGCAGTGCGCTAACCACTAAACTCCCGCTCCCCAAAAGCACACAGACACACACACATACAAAAAAATCAACGGCCACATGAATCACAGAATCTAAAACTTCCCCCAGTTCGTTATATTTCACGCTCATTATTTTTACAGCTGTCAAACAAGCGCGCGTAATCCAATACCTCCCAGTTCCACCAGGGTGCTCATGCACTTGACATGCACAACGGGCTGACCTTGCTGATTGTATTTAATTCATCAGCCAGCGCGTAGTGGTTATCCAGTGCTGGATGAAGACCTTCTCAAGCAATCGGCGTCTATCGCTACTGCCATGCGATGTGGTAGTTAATACTTATCGGAGTCAACCCTGGTACCTGCTCGCGAGCAGATTTCATCGCTCCATCTCCGGGTTGGATGTCCTCTCGCGAGGGGTTCCATCCGCCGTTATTCTTGACCATCAGCCACAATCCCGAGTAGCAACTTTGTCTTTCCCATGCCCAATTTAATTGAATTTTCTTCAGTCATAATTGTCGTTAATCTGCATGTGTTCTATAATTCACGTTGTCTAATCCACGTCTCGCATGGATTACGCATATCAATTAAATGTAAGGAACGTCTCTCCTCCCTCTCCACGCTTTTGTTGGTACTTTTCAGCTTTTGTTCCATTTTTTTGGTTTAATTTCCATGTATCTGGTCATATTATAGAGTATGCGTTTAATTAAAATAAAAGTTATTCCGTAATTAAAACAGTGCCCAATTAAGATGCCGTGTTGGCAGTCTGCACAAGTACAGATGAATATTAATTAAAAAGATCCCCTTTATCAAATTTGCAATTAGCACTGCCTTGCAAAAGTATACTTTGAGTCCAAAGTTTCTGGTAATAGCCCATTTTTCTTCAGAGCAGGCATACAATTTAAAGATCTGACAGTGGTAGATCACACTTTGCACTCTCCAGGATGTTACCTTGAAAACATTGGGAGATTTCACGTTGAATTATGAAGGATATTTTGAATTATGTTGTGCAGTGTCACATTAGCAGATACTACATCAGGTACAGGAGTAAACACACCATCAATAAAAACAAGATTCACTGATTTAAAACAAAAACACGTATCAATTTCGGACTGCAAAACTGCGAATGTCAGCTTAAAATGAAATGCATATCTAGTGTTTTTTCATTATTTATGAAAAAGGGTGTGTGCCCGAAACGTCGCCAATTAAAAACCGATATTTCTCCTTCTATGGCAGCGTGTTAATGACGCTCACGTTGAGCATTTTTCGTGTCATTGTTCACCATTGCCAAAGCAGTATCACCGAACGACAATTCAAGTAATTTCCCCCCCATTTTAAGAACCGTGCGAAAAAGCTTCAGTTTGGAGACACGAACTCATCAGCTGACCGCTTGACGGCTACAACGCACAGAGGAGCCGCACGTGTCCGCCCCCCCCCCTCTCCCCGTAGCCCCGCCTCTACCCACCCACGTAGCCCCGCCCCCTCCCCCACCGTAAACCCCGCCCACCTAATTAACATTCGCGACAACACGCGCGCGCCCTCCAATCGTAACGCGCGCTTTTCACGCGTGACGTCACACGCGCCTCGCGGGAGTGGGGGGGGGCGAGCCGGTTAAGACGATGGGCGGTGTTAGTGGTAGGAGGGAGGGGGGGTGGGGGCGGAAGTGGCGCGCGCGCGCGTGACGTGACGTCTCCTCGCGCACACCCCCCACCCCCACCCACCCATAGCCGCGCGCGCGCACTAACGACGTCGCGCGCGCTCGACGGCCGTCGCGACCAATGGGGGAGAAGCGGGTGGGCGCTCTTCGACCACCCCGCCCCGCCCCTCCCCCTGGGGCGAGGGAGGGGGGGAGGGGCGGGGTCTTCGCGCCGGTGACGTCACAAAGCGCAGTTGGCGGGGCGCGCGCGCGCGGCGTGTGCACCGCTTTTGTTCTGCTCGCCGCCTCCGCCGCGCGCGCGCGCGCTCCCGAACATCAAACTCTGGTTGTTGTTGTTATTATTATTGATTACAATTTACAGTGTTAAATTATTGTTTTTTTTTTAAATAGCGTCTTTATTATTATATTTTTTTTGGGGGGGTGGGTTACGTGTGATTATAATTATTAGCGTGTTTTTTTTTTTAAAGGAAGATTCGTCCGCAAGCCGCGGGGCTCTATGTTTACATCTCGTACCACGCAAATCTGGTATATTGATAATGACACAGTGCAGACCCTGCATTCATTGTTGTTGGTGGCAGTGCCGATAATGTTATTATTTTGAGTAAATGGACTCGCTTTGTAATTCTGATGTCTGCGCCTTGTGTCGACCCTCTTACTCTCTCTGTCCTCCTTCCAACCACGATCAAACTTTAACCCTTCGTTAATAAAACTCACATAATACAAAATACACGCGCATACGTAAACACGCGTAATGCACATTCACATACACGCACGATAAACACGAACACTTCACATACAATACACACATACACAAATAAACACACGTATAATACGCTGACAATACACGGTCAAACAATGCATGCACTCTGTATGCTCTATACACCGCTGACTCACTGACTGACATACACTAATCACATGCATATACAATGGCATACACACACTTTGACATATACACACTGACACACACTTTGACACACATACACACTAACACACATTTTGACACACATTGACACATACACACACTTTGACACACTAACACACACACACTTTGACACACACTGACACACTTTCACACACACTGACACACGCACTGACACATACTGACACACACTGACACACACACATACACACTGACACTAACACACACACTGACACACACACTGACACACACACTGACATACTGACACACACACTGATACACATTGACACACACTTTGACACACACACACACTAACACACACACACTGACACACACACACTAACACACACACTGACACACACACACTTTGACACACACATACACAATGACACTTACACACACTAACACACATACTAACACACAACCTGACACACATACACACACACACTGACACACGCTACAGATGTATCGGGACAGGCGCTCACACGCACCGCCTCCCCGAGCAGCCGTGGTCGCCAGGAATCGCCTCCTCCACCACCACCACCACCAGCAGCAGCCTCTCCACCATCCCCACCACCACCACAACGACCACCACCACCAGCCTCTCCACCACCACCAGCCTCACCACCACCACCAGCAGCCTCAGCACCACCACGACCACCACCCCTCGGCGTCATGCCGAGCTCGCTTTTCGCAGACATGGACCAGCGAGGCGGCGGCAGCAGCAGCAGCAGCGGCAGCAGCAGCGATGAGCTGGGCGTGGGTGGAGGAGGAGGAGGTGGAGTCGTCCATCGCCACCTCCACCCCGAGTCGTCGTTTGACGAGCGCCGGGCGTTGCAGATCGCCCTGGACCAGCTGACTCTGCTGGGGCTGGACGGGGTCCCGGGACCAACTCCTGGGCCGGTGGTGGTTCCATCATCATCATCAGCAGCAGCTGTAGCAGCAGCTGGTGACAGCAGCAGCAGCAGCAACGGTGGCGGTGGTGGTGAAGATGCAGAGATGGAAGATGATGAGGATGATGAGGGCCATCATCATCATCAGTCGTCTGTGAGCCACGCCGCTCTGCTGCTGTTTGGAGGAGGTGGTGGAGGTGGAGGTGGTGGAGGAGGAGGTGGAGGTGGTGGAGGTCTGGGAGGGGTCCTGGACGCCAACTCTGTCTCCTCTCCCTCGTGCTGCAGCAGCAGCAAGCGCGGCCACAACTCCACCGAGTGCGTCTCCGTGCCCAGCTCGGAGCACGTCGCTGAGATCGTGGGCAGGCAGGGTGAGAGGGGGTGGGGGGGGGCTTTGTTGTTGTGGTTGTTGTGGTGGTGGTGGTGGTGGTGGTTGTTGTTGTTGGTGGTGGTGGTGGTTGATGGTGCTGGTGGTTGTTGTTCTTGGTGGTTGTTGTGGGTGGTGGTTGATGGTGGTTGTTGTTGGTGGTTGTTGTTGTTGGTGGTTGTTGTGGGTGGTGGTTGGTGGTGGTGGTGGTGGTGGTTGTTGTTGGTGGTTGATGGTGGTGGTGGTTGTTGTTGGTGGTTGTTGTTGTGGGTGGTGGTTGATGGTGGTTGTTGTTGGTGGTTGTTGTTGTTGGTGGTTGTTGTGGGTGGTGGTTGATGGTGGTGGTGGTTGTTGTTGGTGGTTGATGGTGGTGGTGGTGGTTGTGGGTGGTGGTTGATGGTGGTGGTGGTGGTGGTTGTTGTTGGTGGTTGATGGTGGTGGTGGTTGTTGTTGGTGGTTGTGGGTGGTGGTTGTGGGTGGTGGTTGATGGTGGTGGTGGTGGTGGTTGTTGTTGGTTGTTGATGGTGGTGATGTCTGGGCTGCACGCACGCTTCTTACACTGTACTCATTGACACACTTACACAGAGCACACTGCACGTGTACACACTCCCACAGACCACACTGCACGTGTACACACTTACATAGACCACACTGCACGTGTACACACTTACATAGACCACACTGCACGTGTACACACTTACATAGACAACACTGCACGTGTACACACTTACATAGACCACACTGCACGTGTACACACTTACATAGAGCACACTGTACGTGTACACACTTACAGACCACACTGTACGTGTACACACTTACATAGACCACACTGCACGTGTACACACTTACAGACCACACTGCACGTGTACACACTTACATAGACCACACTGCACGTGGACACACTTACATAGAGCACACTGTACGTGTACACACTCACACAGACCACACTGCACGTGTACACACTTACACAGAGCACACTGCACGTGTTCACACTTACACAGACCACACTGCACGTGTACACACTTACACAGACCACACTGCACGTGTACACACTTACACAGAGCACACTGCACGTGTTCACACTTATATAGAGCACACTGCACGTGTACACACTCACACAGACCACACTGTACGTGTACACACTTACACAGACCACACTGCACGTGTACACACTTACATAGACCACACTGCACGTGTACACACTTATATAGAGCACACTGCACGTGTACACACTCACACAGACCACACTGCACGTGTACACACTTACATAGACCACACTGCACGTGTACACACTTACATAGACCACACTGCACGTGTAGACACTTACACACAGCACACTGCACGTGTACACACTTACATAGACCACACTGCACGTGTACACACTTACACAGACCACACTGCACGTGTACACACTTACATAGACCACACTGCACGTGTACACACTTACATAGACCACACTGCACGTGTACACACTTACACAGACCACACTGCACGTGTACACACTTACACATAGCACACTGCACGTGTACACACTTACACATAGCACACTGCACGTGTACACACTTACATAGACCACACTGCACGTGTAAACACTTACACAGACCACACTGTACGTGTACACACTTACACAGACCACACTGCACGTGTACACACTTACATAGACCACACTGCACGTGTACACACTTACACATAGCACACTGCACGTGTACACACTTACACAGAGCACACTGCACGTGTACACACTTACACAGACCACACTGCACGTGTACACACTTACATAGACCACACTGCACGTGTACACACTTACACAGACCACACTGCACGTGTACACACTTACACATAGCACACTGCACGTGTACACACTTACACAGACCACACTGCACGTGTACACACTTACACAGACCTCACTGCACGTGTACACACTTACATAGACAACACTGCACGTGTACACACTTACACAGACCACACTGCACGTGTACACACTTACACAGAGCGCACTGCACGTGTACACACTTACACAGAGCGCACTGCACGTGTACACACTTACATAGACTACACTACACGTGTACACACTTTCATGTACACTGTACAAAGACAAAGATGCCACGTGTAGCCTTGGCCAGACTGTTGGGGCAAGTGCTGTTAGCACGGTACACGTAGGGGTGGGTGGCCAGCACCACGCCCGGCCGCCTTTGTCTCCCCAGTGACAATGTTTACTACACACCGCACCCAGGTACTCGTTTTTTTAGGCTGAATCAACATAGGGGATGCCCAGGACCGGTTAAGATATTCGTCACACTGTACTCGCACATTTAACACACGTACACGTACATGCTACACACACACATCACACGTTATAGATAGATGTATACACATTACATTCACCGATTGATACATTACACACATTCACATAGACTACACACATTTACACACTTTATTACATTCGCATATATTGATGTACTGTACTGTATACATTTACACCCACACATACGTTCTTTGACATCTACAGGAGTGTACATGTACACACTTATACACATCCTAACGTACACAGTATACACACACTCGCTGATGCATACATTCAGTGCATCCATAGATGCATGTGCAGTACACGTGTAAACGTGCTTATACATACGCACAGGCGTACACATTGACACGGCTACATTCAGAGTAACAGGAATCATAATAATAAAATATACCCGCATGCGCGAATTCTAACGTATTGTAAACATACAGTAGTGCACTGTACACACACGTGCGTGTACAGTGCGCGCACTCCGCCCACTGTACGTGGGGCACAGGTAGAAACACCGCACGTGTCTTTCCGTCACGACGTTCACACGTGGCACAGTGTACTGGTCTTCAACCACGCCCGGCCGCCTTTGTCTCCCCAGTGGCGATGTTTACGCCCGGCACCAGCTACTCGTTTGAGGCCGAGACGACCTAGGGGATGGTCCTGTTAACCGGTTAAGACAATCGTCTGTGAATGTGTACACGTGCATTAATACACACACACACGTAGCTAGCCACGCATTCTTAAAGTCTTCAGACGTTCTTCATGTGCAGATGTCAACGTGCATACTTTCACCACGAGTAGACACGGAGAGACATTGATACATTCACTTACATCGACCATGCATATATTGCTAAGTTCATACACGCGTATCATTCATTCCGTCAGCCTTATACTGGACAGTTGCTGTTAGCGAGCATCTGTTAAGGGCAGCGTGGTCACAATACCAACAAGCACATGTGTACATACACCGAAACAATTCACGTGAACGGCGCGGTGGCTGACTATGATGTTGACATGCACATCATCACATAATGACACCGCCAGCGGCAATTTGTACCTGATCCTAAACCCGCACCTATGGCTCGATTCAGCCCAAAATAATGTAAACATCAGCTCCGGTGCTAGTACCACTACATCCAATTCTGTTCGCAGCCAGCCTTAATAGATGCTCGCTAACAGCGCTTTCGTCAACAGTAACAGCCCATACGGTAGAGGACTGTGTATACGGCTGTGGCTTGGATGAATGGCCAAGGGTTAGATGTGTCTCGCCTGGAGAGATGTTGCAGTGGTTGACTGTATTGTGTGTGTGGTGCGTGCAAATATATATATACCCAGTTAAAGTGTGTGTGCACAAATCATGCATGTGCAGCAATATGACTTGTCTTGTGGTCATGAACACATTGGTCATGAACACAATAGTTCGGTGGAGACGTTCCAAGTTAGTGTTTCATGTTTAGCAATGTGCTGTGTATTGTTACCCACATATGTGAGAAACGTGCTGTACATGACATACGACACATTATGTATGCTGTGTATATAAATGTCTGTGTAAAACTACATTACACGCCTATATTGTTCTCTGTTTACGTATACTGTGCATTAGTTCATGTGTATTGTGGCCTTTGGTGTTGTGCAGTGCATCGGGGTTATATTGTATGCATGCTGCACTGCTTTGCGTGGATATGAGTGCATGGAAATTAATGATTATCAGCTATTGATTATCCACTGCTGGATGATCGTCGCCCCACCTTGTTGGCATCCTTTATGCTCCCTTGATGCCCCAACATGCTTTCGTTGGCTTCTCTGTGCTGTGAAGGGCCATTGAATCGTCACCTATTATGGTTTTTTTAAAGGCAGTATTATTGAAGAATGTGTTGAGTTTTATCATTCAATAGATATAGGATAAATAATAAGAGTTGGAGATGACACTTTATACCATGGGGCCTGATGAAAGTTACATTTGTCTGCTACCCAACTGCTACTGTTAGATACCGATGTACCAATTGAAAAACTGCTCATCAGAAAAAAATGTAATTCTCATCACACTCCATAGTGTAAAGTTCAATCTCCCTTTCTTATTATCCACTGTATCTCTCCGGTCTCTGTGTGATATGAAGAAGGTCCATTGCCCAAAACATTGTTAAAACATTTTTACTTAAAGCCACTGTTATTGACGAATGCGTTACGTCGTCATGAAGACAGTCATACTCCGTGGGTTTAAATGCTCAAGTGATGACCTGGTAGGAGATCTACTTGGGCCAAATTTGCTGCAGGGCAGTACTTGCCATATGGAGGACGATGAGTAATGCTCGTGGTGTCACCTTCCCGCAGAATGTTTTTTTCCATCTCCAAAGAAACGCCTTCTTGTGTCGCCCGCCGTGATGCTCCGAAACGCGAGCCCTTTGTGTTGTGGTTGGAACCCGCGTGTCTCTTTGTGCATGTTACGCGTGGGGAGGGGAGTGGGTGGAGGAGCGAGTTCATCCTTGCTGGGCCAGGGACCCTCCTCCCTTGGGGCGGCGACTGGCTGCGCTTCCCGCCTCCCCAGCTCCTGCTAGCCCCTTGTGTTCGACCCATTGGAGTGCACGTTTTATTTACCCCTCTAGCCACTTATCCACGCGTGCCCATTTGCGCGTGTTGGCTTCGGCGATGGGCCCACCGTCGGATTTGCAATTCTGCCAGTTAACTCGTGTGTCATTTTCCCCGACCATTTGTCCGTCACTAATTAAGACTGAACCGTGTCCGTGCAGGTTGCAAGATTAAGGCGCTTCGGGCGAAGACCAACACGTACATCAAGACCCCCGTGCGAGGCGAGGAGCCGGTGTTCGTGATCACGGGGCGTCAGGAGGACGTGGCCATGGCCAAACGAGAAATTCTCTCGGCCGCCGAACATTTCTCGGTCATCCGTGCCTCGCGCAACAAGCCCGGGGCTCTGGGATTGCCCAGCGGGGGGCCCGTGCCGGGCCCCCCGCCCCCCGTGCCAGGCCAGACCACCATCCAGGTGCGCGTGCCTTACCGCGTCGTGGGCCTGGTGGTGGGGCCCAAGGGCGCCACGATCAAGCGCATCCAGCAGGGTACGCACACGTACATCGTGACGCCGAGCCGAGACAAGGAGCCCGTGTTCGAGGTGACGGGCATGCCCGAGAACGTGGACCGCGCGCGCGAGGAGATCGAGGCGCACATCGCCCTACGCACGGGCGGTCTCATCGAGTTCAACGACGAAAACGACTTCCACGTGAACGGCACCGACGTCGGCTTCGACAACGGCGGCAACGGCGGCGGCTACCAACCCGGCAGCCTGTGGATCCGCCCGCCGCGCAAGCCGTTCTCCACCAACCGCAACGACAGCTCCAGCTCGCTGGGCAGCGGCGGCGGCTCCACCAGCGACTCGCACCTCGGCGGAGGGAGCGGAGGGAGCGGCGGCAGTGGCGGCAGCGGCGGCAGCGGCGGCGGCGGAAGCAGCAGCAGCAACGGTGGCCGCTACAGTGCCGACTTCAGCCCGACGAGCCCGTTCGGCAGCAGCGGGGCCTTTGGATTCGGAGACTCGCTCACATCGCTCAGTTCCGAAGAGCTGCTCATCGAGTCGTCGTCTGGCACGTTGGAGGCAGGCCCCACGGCCCTCCTCTGGGCCCACTTTGAGCGCACCAACCCGCTCGCGGTGCTGGGCAGCCTTCCCGGCCATTTGCACGGGCAAGGCGGCGGCGGCGGGGCCGCAGGGCTCAGGGGCCGGCACTCGGTCGCGGCCATCATCACCAACGGAAGCCGCCTGTCTCCCACCTTCGGCACGGATAACGGCCCGCTGCTGGACCACCCGCTGGCGCGGCGCGCGCGCAGCGACCCGCTCACGCAGGGCCTGCCTAAGTACGGGCTGAGCCCGCCCGAGCTGGCCGACAGCTGCGGCAGCGGCAACGAGAGCGACGGCAGCCTGGGCTCCGGCTTTGGCGGCACTGCCTCGGGCTCCCCGGGCGAGATGGCCGACGTGGGCGAGGGCCGGGTGGCCCGCGACTGCGCGGTGTGCCGGGAGAGCGCGGTGACGGCCGCCCTCGTGCCCTGCGGCCACAATCTGTTCTGCATGGAGTGTGCGAGCGGTATCTGTGAGAAGGGGGAGGAGCCCAGGTGCCCTGTGTGCCTCACCACCGTTACTCAGGCCATCCGCATATTCTCGTAATCGTAAGCCACTGATGTATAGCAGCACACAGCCACTGTGTCCCTTCAAGTACTCCTATGTACATCAAAGATAATGCTATGAAAATACAGGTCAGGTATAACCATACTGTATACTCTTTATATTATATATTCACACAGATAAATATATTTTTGTTTTTGACTTGAAGAATGGCAGTATATTTCTTATAATAAATGTTTACTATTTAGTACATTAATTTAATTTATGAGTTTTAAATTGGATTTACTTTTTTTTATTTAGGGTGGCCTTTTGGCTTCTATGGCATGACACTGTTAACTCATTTTATTAACAAGCTCTACTGAATATCGACACAATTGCTGTTTATGCATCGCGGTTGACAGTATTGTATTAAATATTACATAAGAACATAATATACTCATCTATAGCATTTCACTTAGCATGTTTATAATGGTACACTGTATGTGATAAATTCCTCTATATTAATAGAACAAAGAATAACCAATGTGTAAGTATGCTTTTCTATGCTATTTCTATAACATAAAGTAGTGAATGAAAATCCATTGCACCAATATACTTTTCTTATTTGCTATTTTAGTATGTTTACCACAAGTTTATGTATATGTAGGTAAAGTTAATGAGTCTATACTTTATTAAACAGAAGTGAAAATATATTTTTATTTTCTGATACAGGCCTTTAACGGTATGTGGCCAAATACTAATATTATATTTGCAGATATGAGAATTAATGAGAATTGTATTGTTTTATTTTTCTGCCGTATTGATGTTCCGCCTAATATCTGGTGGAAGTTCGTTGTTTATTTCTAGAATTTTATTGCACTCAAAAAAAGTTGAAACAAAGTTTAAGCACATGGCGTAATGGTCCTTGTATGAATAGCCGTATTGAACTGTGGAAGATGTTTATGCCGACATGGAAAGTTAGTTTGATGGATAATAAATAAACTTGACCATTAACATATATGTTTATTGCTATTTCTGCTGTCTCAGACCATCAGTAGAACATGCCTAATTTTATTTTGATCTCAATGGCAAGGTAAATGGAATTGACAAAGGAATACATTACTGTATGCCAATTTTTTTGTGACAATCTTGGAATGACTTAAGCTAAATGGATATTGAGACAATTTCATTTGTATGTGTGTTAAGAAGCTAATGGTCTACATCTGGTGATTAAAGAAGCTAAATAAGACTAATATTTAAAAAGACATGTATGTATTAGACCGTTAGTCAAGTTTAGGCAGTGACATTCTGCTAGGAATGGTAAATTTTTTCTAAATGTATTTTATATGTGTGTGTATGTATGTATTTTAATGTATTTTTTAAATAAAATATCATTTAAGTTATGCAAGCTCTGATGCAGACTTGTGAGCTTGGAGGAGTGTCTACGATATGTGTACATATCCATTATCAAAGCCATTAAGTCTTTGGGAAACTGCTTGTTAAATACTAACAATTGGCTTGCTGGAAAACTTTTTCAATATGCATCAAGTTTGAAATTATCATTGTTGCACTTTTGAAATGATCATTGTTGCAAAAACACGTCTGATAAGTGCTCTTCATGTAATTTTACTAGTATAAAGGTAATAGGCAGATTTTAAAACATTGAATAAGATATATCTTTTTTTTTACCCTATGCAAGCTTTGAAGAGCAATTCAACTGAAATGGAGTACTTGTGATTGAACTATCTTGACAAGAAAAAAAAATGGCATTTTGTGCAAATGAAAGCACTTTGCCGTAAGCACAATAGCGACAACATTTATGATGTTTCTCAAATATGTTCACTCTAAAAACCGTCGCAGCAAAGGGTTTCCGAGATGTGTAGGTGGAATTTTCAAAGAAAAGGCACCCCGCAGTTCTCACAAAAACTCGTCACTGCTTCATGCAGGAACAAACTCACACAACACAGTGGCATGGGTGGGAACAAATACACAAGGGCTGAAACCAAGTGGATTCATGCACTGCCTGAAATAATTTCCGAGATCTACTTTCTCTTCCTTTTTAGAGGAAATGTATTATATATGGTGGCTTGGCTTGTATCAAGTGCATGCAAAGTAGTTTACACGTAATGGGAGCTGAACCACAATAATTCACCCCAGTGGTTTTATTGACCTTTACTTTTAAAGCGAAACGGCTCTACTTTTTTTTAACCATGCCTCTAGGAATTTCAGTTAGCTGGATTACGTTTAGGATATTTTTTTGTTACACATACAGAGATTAAATGAAAATGGATTTGTACAAGAAAAAATCCTGCTAAAATAACAGGAAATGGATGAAAAGTTAATCATGTAATTTATCCAGGAAGACATTTAGTCGTCGACTCTTGGGATGTTGCTGCATTTGTATATTAATTATACACTGGTCAACACACTTTTTCTGGCATAATGTATTCCAACGGTTTTAAGGTAATTTTGTGGTGCCGATTCCAAATCTGGCATCAGTTTTTGTCTATCACATCAGGTTTTTTAGATCAAATATTGCATTTTCAATAAAAACTGCAGAAGAAAATATTAGATAAATGTGGATATCTACATAAAATGATATTATAAACACTATCCTCAAAATACAGCACCATATTTGAACACTAAAGCAGTCACTGACTCGCAACAACTTGCAATCATAAGCGACAGAGTTTATTTTGGGTAAAATCAATGAAAATGGGGTATGCCGATAGCATAAAATGAGATGTGATAGAGCAAATCTGAGATCAGATTTGGAATCAGCACCCTGAAATTAGTCTAAAACAGCTGCAAAAGTCCAGGCCAGAAAAAAATGTTTTTTTTTGTTGACCAGTGTAATCTGTTGGGGTACAAAGAGGGGGCAGGGGCGGGCTACCAGTCTTGCAGACAATACGATTTTGTCTGCAAGAAATAAGCAAACACTCGTGCTTCAGGGGTGCTTCTCCAGTATTCCATCTGCAAAATAAAAAAAACACGTGAGCCCTGCACAAGAAAGGAAGCATGGGAGTTTACTATAAACAAAAAATGACAGCATCACCCAGCAAAAGGTGACATCAGCCCAGAATTTCTCAGCTTACCTTTGCTTTTTTGTCATCACTGCAATTGTGACCTCGACTAGGGTCATACGAGTACTTAGAGATTTACATTTAAATGAGCATGTTTCAGCAGTGTCGGCAAAATATTGCTCAAATTAATGTAATGGTAGTTGTTTAGATGCATTTGATCTTTTTGTTGGCTGTTTTAATTTGTAAATAACGAACTTGTTTTAAATGTGAAATTGATGTTTTCACACCACTTTTGTAGCCGTACAGTGAAAGTTTTAAAACTAGGCAACCGTTTTCATCCACAATGTCACAGCAAGGAATGAGAATATATATTGAGGAATGCACGTTTTCATTTCCACATTCGGGTTATACACCACAGCACAGTGGCAGGACAACTTACAAGGAATATTGCACATCAACTGACACATGATCGCGCAGAATAATTGGCTACTTGCTAGTTTTTCATTTATTTCATGGGGAGCACTGGCGACATTACACCCTGATCTTAGAATACATTTTGTTTACTGTTGCTGGTGAGATCTGTAACAATGGCACAAGTTCTCAAAATTTCATACCAGACCTATGAAAACGAATTATGCAATTTGCTAAATATATCTCTGGACAAGCAAACAAAATCCATGCTGTGACCTCTAAAAGTCCCATCAGCTACTGATGTTCTAATAAGTGGTAATCTTTTTGAACAGCATGCCCATTAAGACGATTTCCAATGATGTCACTGGCAGGTTGTCATTGTTGCTGGGTTTTGCCATGGCTTAGTTGGGTTCTTCTTTTTATTAAGTGAAAGGATGTCCTGCTCAAATGTGCATTGGGACAGTTCCTGCGTCTTGTTTACAGCCCTGAGCCAGTGATGGAAATTCCATATTCTCATTGCGGGAGCGAGTGAACACATAGGGAAACCGCTGTTGACTTCTTCTTGGTTCTTTCGGTAAAGTCACGTAGAAGGGAAATAATAAAATACAATTCTCACGACGTTTCGGCCACAACGAAAGCAGCCGTCCTTAGGTGAAGAACAGGTCTGTTGGAAAGACAGCGTCTGAATGAACAGACAGACCTGTTCTTCACCTGAGGACGGCTGCTTGCGTTGTGGCCGAAACGTCGTGAGAATTGTATTTTATTATGTTTTATTTTTATTATTTTATTATTTCTTTTCTACGTGACTTTACCGAAAGAACCAAGAAGATGAATCCCTGCAGTCACGAAAGCTTTAAACCGCTGTTGACTTCCCCACGAGGCTGTGTGCTCCCTTTATCAACCCTGGATTCTGGAGTAAGTCAACCCCCAACCAGGATTTGAACTGGCAACTTTCGGATTGCAAACTGCTTGCTCTACTGCTGTGCCAGCTTAATAAGTTAAATTAATTGTTAAATTTGCCAAAGACCATTTAAACATGGTATGGAATATACAGTGGGCAGGGCATTAAGAACACCACTGGATTTACCCTTGGCCATTGTAAATCGTTTAGGGAAGTCATCTTAGGGAAAAAATATTCAAGTTGGCCAGTGCACACAAAGATGTGGCATGACCATAACCACACTCAGCAGCGTTGTTTTTCTGATATCGATATTTACATTGTGCACCAGATAGTCAAGGCTGAGATCATCTTGAGTATGGCAAAGCCAGGATCAAATTCCACTCATCCACTTTGGTGTATCAAGCCCAAGTTAGTGGGATTATAGCAGTAAGCGTGCACCACAGTATGCATACGCACATGGCATTACACAAACCAACTGCGTCCATTCAAATGTCCTTAAGCGTGACCTGAAACTGAGAATGTGTTGACCAGACTATTCGAAAGAAAGTTTTAAAAACATCCGGATAAGGAAGTAGCAGTAACTTAACACTGGAAAAATAAGTAGATTTATTCTGGACTTAAAAACGTCCATATATCCTCCCAGTGGAAGGATAAGACTAAGTTTGTGTGAAATAAAATCTGGGTTTTTTAACCAAAAAATCCATTTCAGAGGGTTGTTCGTGGGAGGAAAAGATTGAGAGCAGATTGCGATGAGTGGTGGGTTTATCTGTAAACCCTGGAAAGAGTGTGGCTTTGGTTGGGTAGGTAGAGGGTTAGGGCTGACGACTGCTGATAAGGGCTTGGTATTACCAGCAAATTGCCCAGAAACCATACTCACACTGGGAAAATAAGACTTCATGAAGAAGAAAATCGTGTATTGTGGAGCTGTTTTGATTCATACATTTTGCGGTGGGCTCTGAAACAGCATTGCTTGACATTGCAATTTAGTTTTCATGAAAGCAACCTTTTAGTTGGCTTTGGATGCGCCACTGAATGAAGACGACTTGATTATGATACTGGTACACAATCACAATGCGCTGTTAAGTATAGCAAGTGGCCAAGGAAGTGGGGTTTAAGTGCTCTATTTAGGACATGACGCACTTTGTGACATTTATACCTGATAGAAAGGGGAGTGGCAGTTGGGGGAGGGGGGGTTGTTTGAGCTGGTAAACCAATTTGTAATGCGCTACCGTTTTTATGTGCTCTAACAGCATTAGAAGGTGGCGTTTTTCGATTCTACTCGAGCACAAAGGACATGTGCTCGATGCCTGCAATGGAGGCGGGGTGAGTGGGTTTGTGAGAGGAGGGGTGAGGGGAGGGGCATATTCCTCTGGGAAATTCTAAATAATGACATTCTAAGAGTTTTGTTTTTGCACGGATTTTTTTTTTACCCTGACAGCTGGTCGAAAAAACGGACAGTTGGCAACCCTAATTAAATGGATGAACATAGTTTGCATGATTTTATTTTCAATCTTATTCTTACAATTCATTGCTCTTATGTGTTGAAGTTGGCTGGAACGGCAGGGGGAAAATATATATTTAAACTTACAACTTATGTCATCTGATCAAGTTGCATTTTATCAACCACAAATGCGTTGATGTCTGATTGCTGAAGCAAAATGTTCACGTTAAAATACGACACGAGGTAATGAAGAACATTCCTGCGGAGGGAGCTGGTAGGAACGTTGGGTTGCTCGGTCAATGGCCAGGGTCAACGGCGGCGTGGTGTATTCCGCAAATATGCCCGACTGTGAGGGCGGGCACAAGCCGGCGTGAGTAGGTTAAACGTTGAGTTTTATAAGGGCACCACAGGGTGACCAGCCCCTCCCCACCCAGCCCCACCCTTTCCACCCCCCACCCAGCCCCACCCTCCCCACCCAGCCCCTCCCCACCCAGCCCTTCGCTCCCCACCCAGCCCCTCCCTGCACGACGGACACAATAATCCCCTGTGGGCTGGTGTAACCAGGAGGTTCCTACCAGTAATACTGCTCTGTACCTCTCAGTGCCGGGAGAGCAAGCAATATTCGCAT